AAAAGGCTTCCCAAAACAAAGTTACTGGGTTAATCTTTTTCACGTTTCCTTGGTTGGTAGATGCACCGGGGACCTGATTATAGCACTTAACACCTGGAGAAGTCAGATTTTCATGATATGTCACCTTAAAACTATTTTATACTATGCATACTAATTTTTACTTTTTATTATATATATATATATATTAGGGCTGTCAATCTATTAACATTTTTAATGTAATTAACTGCAAGATGTGTCGATTAATGTAATTAATCACAAATTGAATTTGACTGTGAAAACTCCCACAAAAGATAATTTAAAGCCATTATTGTGTTAAATGAGAAAAGTATCAAGTAGACATAACAAAAAGTACCTTTAGAAAGAAATATTTTATTTGATTCAAGAAAATGTATTACACATAAACATTTAGGCTACAAGAGCCTAATATAAGCTATGTAACAAAAGAAGATCATTTGAGGAACATTTCAGTGTTTTTTGTTCATACAATGAAAGTCATTAGTAACAGAAACAGTTTGGTTACCAACATTCTTTAAAATATCTTCTTTTATGTTCAGCAAAGGAACGTAAGTCATATAAATAAAAAATGACATGAGAGTGAGTAAATGATGACAGAATGATGTCATTTTTGGGTAAACTATCCCTTTTAAAGGGATAGTTCACCCAAAAATGAAAATTTGATGTTTATCTGCTTACCCCCAGGGCATCCAAGATGTAGGTGACTTTGTTTCTTCAGTAGAACACGATGATTTTTAACTCCAACCGTTGCAGTCTATCAGTCGTATAATGCATGGCAATGGTAACAAAATCTATGAGAGTAAAAAAAAACATGCACAGACAAATCCAAATTAAACACTGCGGCTCGTGACGATACATTGATGTCTAAAGACACGAAACGATCGGTCTGTGCAAGAAACTGAACATAGACTGCAACGGCTGGAGTTAAAAATCATCATGTGTTCTACCGAAGAAACAAAGTCACCTACATCTTGGATGCCCTGGGGGTAAGCAGATAAACATCAAATTTTAATTTTTGGGTGAACTATCCCTTTAATGTTTATGGATACTCTAAATAAGAAACTAAAACTGGCAGTAGGTGGCGGTAAATATCTTTATGAGTAAGTCATTGAGTCATTCATTCGATTCGTTCGAACGGCTGATTCATTCAGAAATGAAACACCGCTGCGTGATGCTTGGAGATGCAAAACAGCTCTGCTATGGCCTTATAGGTAATATTTTCTTGGCAGGATTGAGCAAAAACAGACTAAAACAATATTAACTTCTTATTTACTGAACTGTTGTATGAAATCACATTTGCACTTGTGCTATTCGGGACAAAAACTCATAGGGACATTTCTGCCCCACTATCTTGAATTTTAGGGGCCCATAACCGCATTTATTGACTACATTACGTAGTGAGTTCTGGGGCGGGGCCAGTGTGTTAACTGCATTAAAATATTTTAATCACATTATTTTTCCATAACTAATTATTTAAATGAACAGCCCTAATATGTATAAAATTAATTTTGTTCGGCATGTGTGCAATGAACTGGTACAGTCTAATCATATCCTATGCCTCACAGGTTTTGCATACCTTAGCTTTTATAGATGGCATGACATCATCTGGTTTTCCTTTGTCCAAAACTTTTCTATGTTGCTGAGAAAAAAAAGCATCCACAAGTACATTTATAAAATATAAGTGCACAGTTATATTTTTAAGAATTCTTTCCATCATAACTTGCTAGAGTTCACATTATGTAAATAGGTTTTCCACCCACCTTTTGCCTGCACAATGGCTCCTTTTTGTTCTCCTCAGCTTTAACCTCTTGCTGAATAACTTCTTTTGGTGTATTTACAGCTAGTACATCATTTATTGTAGATCCAACCACCATAATCTTTGCACCATTTGTAACTTTGATTTCTCGAAGCGTCTTGTCCTCTGGTAGCAGTCCTTTGTACATCACTTTCTGCATAGCAGGTGGAAGACCTGATAATCATAATTGGTGAAACATCCTCATAAGAGGACAAATGTTCTCCAAGGTCTCACCTTGTATGACCTCTGTGAAACACAAAGTCATACAAGTTTGAATGACATGACATGATGATTACCAGTGAGAGTGTGAATCTTCTCTTTCAGTTTAGCACCGGTGCCATCTAAAGGAATTTTAAGGTCATATTTGTTTTTGTTCCAAATGATTTTCACTTCCACCATCTCTTTCCCCTCGTCACTTTCCTCTCCGTTGCTGACAGCAGCGGGCTGAGCTGACGTGCTTTCGCCATCGGTAAGAGATGCTTGTTCAGTCCCTGCTGCATCTTCTTGTCCAGCAGCTTCGCACACCACTTCTGGTACCTTCTGCGTGACCTCAGCCTCCATTCCTACTACCTCACTATTGTAGATCCAACCACCATAATCTTTGCACCATTTGTAACTTTGATTTCTCGAAGCGTCTTGTCCTCTGGTAGCAGTCCTTTGTACATCACTTTCTGCATAGCAGGTGGAAGACCTGATAACCATACAAAACACACAAAAAAGCATTTGTATTCGGTAATTTCAATCCTGATATAATATGGTGGTTCCATATTATATAACATTATAAAGTCTCACCATGAAGCATTTTATTGATGTTTTAGTAGTGACATGAGACAGACCAAGGTAGTTTTGTGCTAAAAAATAACAATATACAGTACAAAAAGATAGGGATGTAACGATTCACTCAATTCAAGATTCGATTCACCATTTTGTTTTCACGATTCGATTTTCTCACGATTTTTTTTTTTTTAACAAAATGAGATTGAAGACATTATACAGCAAATGAAAAGGTGTCCTTTTATTAGGCTATTGCTGCACGTTTATTTGTGAAATTGAAATATAACAAAACTAAATTGAAATTTTAAAACAAACCCCAAATCAAATAAGTTACATGAATAAAATACATCTCTTCATATAAACAAACTAAGGCTTTGTCTGTGCTCTTTCCATTTAAAATTGGAGGCAACCACTGCATTTTAATCATGATCCAAACAAAGATGCTGCATACATGCAGCATGAGCAGTTTTTAATCTAAATTAGAATGTATAATTTCGAAATTTGAAGCAAAAACAGAATGGTCTGACTTTAGTTTTGTGAAACTATACCACATAAAACATCTGAAGGAAACAGCAGACAAGCTGAATGAGACGCAAGTTCACTCTCTGCCAGCAGGTGGCTCTTATGAACAGCAATGATACAGTGTTTCCTGGGTTACCGCTGTAAACAAAGCAGGCTTATGTACACTACTTTAATATACATCATTCAGAGGCAACAAGATGAAAAGAAAATACCACGTAAACTTTTTCTAAAGACAGTCAGAGATACATTCATATAAACTCCTACCCCAACTGTATCGTGATTTGTTTAGCATCTCAACCGATTTGAATCGTCACATATTTGAATCGATTTTCAACCGGCTCGCGGTTCATCGTTACATCCCTTCAAAAAGAACAATCTGATAGTCAGGTAAAAAGAACAATCTGATAGTCAGGTTTGGACACACCAACTATTTCTATTTTCTATATTTTAAAATTATAGTAATTGCTGGAGGATGTGCATTCTGGGATGCTTTTAAACTCTTTTGAAACTGATTTCAAAAATCTGATCATATATATCTTTACATGGGATTGTTTTTACTTGGATAATGGATAATGAAAGACTCTACCAAATTAATTTAAATATTGACACTACGGTCTTCTGTAAACCTGCTTTACAGCTGGAATAAGGGCTGCACAATTAATCGAAATTAAATTGCAAAGGCAATAAATCGCGATTAGTCACTTTCCTCTCCGTTGCTGACAGCAGCGGGCTGAGCTGACGTGCTTTCGCCATCGGTAAGAGATGCTTGTTCAGTCCCTGCTGCATCTTCTTGTCCAGCAGCTTCGCACACCACTTCTGGTACCTTCTGCGTGACCTCAGCCTCCATTCCTACTACCTCACTTCCTGTGGGAACAATTATCAGATGAGGAATCATATTGTTAAAGAAATTAAGTTTTCAAGGTGCAAATATTGACCTTCTTCAGAGCACTGATATGACAATATCAAACTATAGTATTTAAGTATTAAAATAAAACAAACAAATCCTCATGGGACAATATTTTATAACCAATAAGATAACACTTTTGGGAAAACTAGGTAACTATCTAAATTTTACAGATAAAAGCTGAATTCATGTGTTTGTTCTAGATTCCCACCCATTACTTGTATGTTTTACTCCTTAAATAGTCCTAACTAGACCGTCTCTAGTACACAGATTTTAAAAGCTAACTGTCTAGCTGCTGTCTAAAGGCTCAGAAACATCTAGTAAATTCCCTTATCGTCATTTGAACCCAACTGTTGAACTAAGACCAGTAACTGTAAGCATGAGCGACTCGACAGAGCCTGTGTTGTAATCGTACACAACTGACTCATCGGTAACTTAGCCAGCCCGCTGTGCTAATAATCGCAAGCTCATATCAAGACTGTGTCTCAAAATTCACTGAGCTGTCTATCTAGACAGCATATTTGGGTAACGTACTGTGGGCTCGATTGGAACCTTCGTTTGAAGGTTCCAAACGCTTCCGCGATGCCCATAGGCGTTAATCGAAAGTTCCAAAAAGGGTCAAACGTTTCAGCATCCCTCAAAATGCTGTCTAGGTAGACGGCTCTCTAGATTTTGTGACACAGCCGAAGTTTTCGACATGGCTAATCACAGAATATCTAGCTATTATTTCACCCTGACAAGTTAAAAGAGCGTCCATTCAGTGTAATACAAGTGTCAAATAACTGGAACTGATGTAATACGCCGCAAAATAACACCGCAAAGACTGTGCAAATGGCATTTAAGTACATTTTCACGCTACCTACCATCCTGCGCCGCCATGATGATTGTGTACAATATGAGGAAAGGCTTCTGGGAAAGAGCGTGCTGTCAGTGAATGAGCTCCGCGGCTTCCCGTAGTGACTTCGCGATTTAAAAATCTGGTTTATGAAACGTAACGAGGACTTCTTTTGTTCCTTTTCCTTAGTTCCTTTTTAAAATTATTCATAAAGTACATCATAAACTTCAGTAAACTATAAAGTTTATAATAGTAGTTTACCCAATTGCTCCTTTGTCATCACAAATGCCCATTTATTGTAGAATTGTGTTTGTTGCAAGTTGCAAAGCATTGACTTTTCTAACTTTGTAAAAATTAATTTATCCCCAAATAACCGTATTAGCATTATTTTAGTGACTCTTTGAAAATAGACCATTTTTCTTAAGTTCAGTTTTTTTATTGCAATTCCTCGCAATATTTTACATTCATAAATGTAAATTTCAAGAAATGTGCTGATTCTTTAAAAAATCATCGACTCTTCTACGGTGTAATACTATAATTTCAGAATTTCATGTATTGTGACCCTCTTAGCATATTTTGTTATAGAGATATTTTATCTTTTTGCTTCTAAATCGTATTCTTTGCTGTAATTCGAAAAGAAAAGAACATAACGAGGAACCCAGATGTGACGTAGCCTGTCAACATTGATTTCCACACAATAGCGATTGACACGAACTCTGTGGATATTGCTTGTAGATCTACGGATGATCTACCCGTAAACTTACCCTACCTTACCTTGAGGGGTTGGTGATCTTTCAGCGCTTACACAATCGGCAACTTTTGAAAACAACATGTAAACAAGTACAGGTCATTTCACGCACATTCTAATGTTCATAATAAGAAGACATAGCCTACAGTGAATCGCTGCTGATTTTAAAGATCGCGCGTGACCGATGCAGGAGCAACAGCGACTTTTTGAGTTTGGCTTTGTGAATCGGGTAAGCTATTGCAGTGATACGGTGTTATTGACAGCAAGCATGTGTAACTAACTAGCACAACGCTGTAGCTAACCTCAAGGATACAACTCAAATGTATTAAATAGCTCAACGAATTTATGAGATCATCATCAACATTTTACACAATAAATCCAAGCACCATACTGTTCATATAGGTTCTATCTATCTATCTATCTATCTATGCTTTTTATATTTTGGGATTTTTTTATTTTTTTTGCCCCATGCTGCTTCTGAAGTAGTTGCCATGGAAACCACATGGATTTTGCATTCCAGTAACTTTCATCTCATGCTTGATGGTCACGAGGCGCGTGCTTAATTAACTGCTGTAATGGATATAATGCAATAATAGTGTAATATACATGCTGTAGATAATTACTCAACTTGGTTTGTTTTCTAACAGTTTGCTTTCCTGGATGCTGGTTTTATTTACATGGACCAAGGCACACTCGCTGAAACTCTGGCATCTTACACGAGGATTTAAATGAGCTGAGGATGGCGGATGTTAGGACGTATAATGTTGTTATTTTGGGAATAGGATTTTTGCTCATTTTTACAGCCTTCACCACCTGCGGTAATATCGAAGTAAGTTGTGTTTCATTCTCATTGTAATGCTATAAACTATTAGACTGAGAGGTAGCCTATGATAGGATGGCATGCTTCATTATGCTACTATGTTTCAAAATATGTCTGAAATTTTTATTTTTTTTTGCACTGAAATTCTAGCAGTACTTATGCCAAAACTTGAGAATTGCAAGCCTTTAAAGTTTGCAGCAGTTTTAACTTTTTATTAGCAATAGTTTCTGTAAAAATACAGCAAAAACTAAAGTTATTTGTTGTGATTTTATTCACACAGTTTTATTGCAGTAACAATACCATGGTAAATATATCAAGTGTTTTTTTCAGCTTAAGTTTTTTTTTGTGACGACATTCAATAAAGTTTTTCAGTTAATTATCTGAAAACAGTCTATTGTTGAGGTAAATCTGGGTCAGGCGCATCTCGTGTTTTTGATTTTCCCCATCAGTCAATGAATTATCCTGCATGACTAATGGGAGAAACTAATTCAAATGTCACGGTGGACTCATGGTAACCTCACTGTCATCCAACACAGAAAAACCCACAAACTCAGTTTAACCACGAAAGGATGTCTTCTCATAAGATTCAACAAATATGTATTAAGGTTAATCTATGTGTTGGAAGTTTCAGTGCAAAAATGATCTTTAAAATATTCACAATGACATAATGGTAGTTGACATATCAAGCAGTGTCTTGCAGTATACATGCTTCATGTACAACTATTTTAAATAGCATAATTTTTTTGTTCTTTTACTTTTTTAAATACATGTAGTTTTTATGAGTTCATATTCACTACATGAAGTATTTATTTAATATTTTATCAACTTTATTTGTCATGCTACAGGGCTATTTAGGTCAACAGCAAAACGTTTGTTTATTTATTTATTTCATTTTAGCAAACAGTGGTGAAAAGCTTGAATAGCACTAACTTCACTGGGAGTGGGTATCACAGGTAAGATCTCAGTCCTTCACCTTTTCTACCATATCCCATATTCATAATTTAGAGGTTTATGATGGATATGTAAATATAATACGCTGCACGGTAAAACAAAATAATGCTTGTGCCATTGTGTTACAACACAT